ATATATAATATGCAACACTCGGACTATATCAGAGTAGAGTACAATGATAGCTGAAAATAAAGTCCAATAATATTTCTCGATATTGTTATATAAGTACTTTATATGGCTTAATATAGATCAGAAGTAGATAATAAGAAACTATTCCTATTATCTACTTCTGGTATAGATCCACGGTTTCTCAAATGCGACGATTTATTTGCGATTGTTGTATTCTCGGAAAAACGGCTGATGTGTTTGCATGTGGTTCAGCAGATTAACAATCATCTGTGTGCAGGCGTCGTCACATGGACGTTGTCAGCTCGGACACCCCCGATTCCGCAAACTACAAGTCGCTATCAACGAAGAAGCAATGGCGCAAGGGGTTACCGTTCCCGCGACACCGCGCTAAGCATCGCAAGAGCGCCGCGATCACGTTAAATGACAACGAAGGCTTCACGCGATCGCCATCGAACCTTCCAAAACCTCTCGGCAGCGACGACCTCGGACGTCGCCGCCCGTCGGCAGACTTGGTCGACGGGTTCGCACTTCACGTGCAGACGCTGTCGCCGACGTTTCCCGACTGGCCGACAACGGACCAGCTCGGCGGCTTCTCCGTCTGCAATCCGACACACAGCTTCTCGACGACGATGTCCGGCGACGGCGCCACCTTGCGGCGGTGTGAGCTGGGCGAGCACGGCGACCTGGATGCTTCGATTGAGACTTGTGTCGACGTGTCACCGGACACGGGGAGCGGCAGCAGTGTGACTAGTGACCGGAGAGCTTAGATTACTGCCGCATATTCCGATCGATTGAAGCGAACACGTGTTAACAACATACGCCCGTGTGTTATTTCTCTGCATTCTCAGGCATCGGCAATCGGTTGTTGCTTAGAACTCCTACATATCGAGCGAGAGAAACGGGAGTGAGCAGACAATGGGGGTGATTTCCTGTTATCGATACGTTCAATGTGGTGTGACTCTATAAGTGTCCTGTGCGTAGTGAGATATATTTTCTGATATCTAATTTTGATTTTCAGTTTAACATGCAAAATGACCAACTTCAGCGTCTAACGTTTGGATGATCGATTAATGACAGAAGGTCACACCTACAGGGGCTACCGTCCAGCCTGTTCTGCTAGCATCTATGACAAATACGACATACGCATATATACGCTCTCCTATGGCACTATTTGTTATAGGAAGATTCTTCCTATGACAGATATTGTTGTATATGTATTGTGCGCATCATAGGAGTTTAGGAGCGCTATTATGAACGCAAGCAGTGAATTTCAGCTGTAAAGCGGAACGAAGTTTACTCGCCAATATTTGTCATAGGAGGAATCTTTCTATGACAAATAGTGTCATAGGACAGCGTATATGCGTAATACATGTCGTATTTGACATAGATGCAAGCAGAACATGTTGCCACGTCAGAGATGTCGTCATTTCTCTCGTATTTTAGTTCATATATAGGTTGATGGGTAGAGCGTAATACGTTGACATAGCACATTCGTCTGTGGTACTTATGTAGATATAATATTATATGTTATTAAACGTCGCTACTCGATCGGAATGACGCCTATTTTACCGTTTGTTATTTCGCATTATTTAATTCATCGACTTATCTTGAGGCTCTCAGAGACAGGAAATTAATGACCATGGCGAAGAAAAATGTGGGAAATAATTTGCCTTGGCATCCTTCGTGATCGGAAAAAATAACATGCCGCAATCTGCCTTACGCTTTAGGAATCTCTTTGACAGCCGGTACAGATTTACATATTCCACAGCAGAGATCTGACGAGCTAGAAGCATAACAAATCAATCAACGCAATCGTATATTGATGTACGAATCCTCCAGCGCCGACACCGCTCGCGTATTCGCATCGCTTCAAAGGGTAAATTTTTCGCGTCTATGTGATATTTAAATTTCGTCGCAATTGCGAAACAATCGGTCGTGTGGCGGGAAAGCTGTGCGGCGCGAATGCATGTTTTAAACGTAATGTGGTTAACCCTATACTGTCGTCGGGCGGCTTTCTGTGTTATGCACGTCTTCGCCATGCCAATGACACCAGGCTCGTTTTTTGCGTAAACAATGTAAACAGGGCGTTTGTATCGCTAGAATGTTGCGCAGCCCCCCCTCCCCAGCATAGGTGACGCTTTTCGTTACTTTTTATTGCATTTCTACTACACGTTTACACCTACTGTAAAATTCCGTTTGCATTTCTACGGTCGTTACTTTCGTTTTATGTTGCGTTTTTAGAGAAACTCGCAGTTGCTGAACTTTCGTGATGACGTATAGTTGCGTTTCCGCCATTTGGCTACTGCAACGTCGCGTGCGTTCGTTATTTTACCTTTGTATCGTCACGTTTGATTTCCCCCCAAATCTATGCCTCGCCGTTATAATAAAATAACGTATTACAGTTTCAGCACGTGAATAGTTTACCTAGTATTAATATTATAGTACACCGATGCGGGTACCGAGCAATAAATAATACGTGCTAATGAAAGAGTAGTCGACCTCGAAAAGTATATCAAATAAGAGTAATTTTCATAATAAAAATAGAAAGGATAATAATAATAGAGTAATAATAATAATAATAACAAATACAAAAACAACAATAACAATATTAATAATATCTGCGAGAAGAAGTTAGTGAAACTTATTTACGCAAGGAATAACGTGGGAACGGAGCAAGCTGTAACGCTGGCAGAATAATGAGAACATGAAACATAACGCGGCGTATTTCATGGCCGTATGTGGGTTAGCCGTTTTGCCGATTGTGAAGTTATTGGATTTCTAAACGCAATTTAGCCACTTTGTCTAGATGCGCATGGACGTGATTCAGCATCACAGAACGACTGCATGCGTTGGCGCTTTGATGTCTTTACACAGAGAAGATAGATTTCCTATAAATTATAATGTGCTGGTAGATGGTCGGAAAAAATTTTATTACACTAATTGCCCGTTTGATGCACCCATCGGCGAACAGTCGCAAGCGTACGCACCTCATGTTGTCTCATAGTTTCTGGAGGCACTTTAGTTAATTAGTTCCTGTCTTAATTAACGGACACGCAAGTTTCTGTGCCCCATGCACAGACACAGTTTCTTACATTCGTCGTCGTGTTAAGTTACTAATATGATTTGCGGTTGTCACTCATGGATGCAAGCACAATCTGTATTGTAATAGACAGCATAAAAGGATAGGCAGGTGTGCATAGCTTTGGCCTGCTATTTCGCGGTAAAATCTGTCTGGGAATCTCGCGGCTGCCGTCATATTTGCTCTAGGGCTTTGTGGAAGAAAAATCATGACAATGCGCACGCATCACGCTCAATACAAACACGCACTTACGATGACTTTGCGTTTCGTCTGCCGCGTGTGTTATTGTATATCGCGTGCGCTAACGTTTGATTAACTGTAATGGTTTATTGTTCAATCACCATACTCGTTCCGAAATTAAGCATCGCAGCTGATCTTCGTCGCTGGCAAAAACGTATCAAAGGTTGTCATCACAAATCATGGATTGAATATATCTGTTGGGGATATATCTGTACAGAGATCTTGCTCGCGGTTATTGCGGAACGAAAATAGTGGACTTTTACTAAGATCACTTGGTCACGAGATGGCACCTAAATGGGTTGGACCAGACTTAGCGGGGACAACCCGGCATGCTATTTCGTGAGTGGGGCCACATCTAGGGTGCCTCCGCGCGATCGAATTGTGAGTCCTGGAATGCACAGAGATGTTTTCCATACAGGATAAATAAGCGATGAAGTATTTTATTGGTCGGCAGGCAAGTACAAAGGGTGTTACGTAAGACACCTTCTTACAGTACGATGCCCATGCAGTAACGCACAGGTTACCTAATCTTACGAGGCAGAACCAGAAGTAGGAAGAGATTGGTATATAGAATGCGCTTCCTGAGAACACGTGGCTGCTATAATGAAATGAGTATTTCCGGCGCGTTTGAGCGACACACCCGGTGCTACTGCAACCTGCCTTTCGGGCCTTGCGTGTGCTCGGTGGATCTGTCTCGCATATTATTGATACTGAACAGAGATTGTCCATCAAGCCGGCTGCAAGACGTGGCATATACACGGACACGCCACACGTCGCTGCATTATAGGTGATCCGGTGGAGCAACAGCTGGTAGGTGGCGCTGGCGTCCTACTGAAATTACATCACAACAGACGATGTGATTATCGCATAATCATAATATAATAATTAATATATAATAATTAATATATAATACATAATATAATAATTAATATATAATACATAATATAATAATTAATATATAATACATAATATAATAATTAATATATAATACATAATATAATAATTAATATATAATACATAATATAATAATTAATATATAATACATAATATAATAATTAATATATAATACATAATATAATAATTAATATATAATACATAATATAATAATTAATATATAATACATAATATAATAATAATATACATTGGCGCGCATAAACTAACCTACAGCCGGGGCCCTGCAAGGATTTATTTATTGGATACATACATCTGGGTAAAGACAAGTAGTTTTAACCCACGTCGTTTGGCTGCTGTATGGTATTAGCTACATTTGAGTACGGTTATGGTGCTATATAGTGTTGTCAGGCCTGTGCCTTATGTAGTATAACTGATGTGTCCTGACTCCTGATGACGTTCTCTTGCTACAAATCTTTCTGAGGCATGGTCGAATCTGTGTGTCGTGTTCTGTTGAGTAGACTTTCTAAACATCCTGTACTTCCGCTGTAAGCTTACCAGTGCCATTCATTTTACTGTGCCGTGGAATTTTCATCGCGATTTTAATTGACTACAGAACGATAATCTATTCTTCTTTCTAATGCAAATATGGCGTGAAACGTCTGAAAGATTTTTTTAATCAAGTAAAATTTACAATGAAAACGTAGGCCTACGAATAAAAGAATATTGATTATTCGTTTCTAAAAAGCGGCACATTCACCACTCTCGTTTATGTTTATTTTCCTTGCCTGTAATGGCCTCGCACGTGAATGTGCCTATTTAATTTATAGTCTATCTCGACTGATGATTGAAAAATAATTGTCTGCAATTTCCCTTTCCTGGCATATACTAGGAAGAAATATGTATGGTCGATGTAGGGGCATGTCATCTCTACCCAAATCTTATATATTGTGCAGCAAGTTTAGGAATTCGGTTCCGAATTCTGTGTGTTAATGGTTTTTCGTATACTAAAAATGTTAGGTATCTACAAAAAAATGTTATAATATATATATATGCCATCTGAATGCCTCTGTGTCACATAATAAGACTTTAGATAAGAATATTAAAAAGTTGGCATGCGCTCTTGTGTAAGCGTGTTTAGCAAGCTCCTGACTATAATTATAAATAACAATTAAGTATTAATCGACTTCCCGGCTAATTTCCTCCTCATTGTAGCATATAGAGACATGTCTTAGTCTCAATTTCACAAAATTATTTATAGCTGAGCTCGTTAATTGTTGCACTCATGTTACATGTAGCCGAGCTATATGTTCGCGAGCGCATTATCTTGGATTTCTTTCGGTAAATCTAAGATGACCAAACTGGAACATGTCTATGAACATGAACTAAACATGTGGTACATTCCGTAAAGATTGGGTTGTTCTAGTTGCCATCTCAACACTGACATGTTGCGCCACCTACTGGTTAGACAAGTTCCCTGTGATATTTATGCATGAAAAGACGATAAATTAAAATGCGTCTAATTGCACTGCATGCCTACTATATCATGGTATGCTT